TATGCAGCAGGTTCTCGGTCAGAAAGCGTAACGGTCGTACATACAAACAAGTATAAATTCTTCCCCAGCTTGTAAAAGGCGTAAGCAACATAACAATAATGTTGTTTCCAAAGACATTGGAATTCACAAGTTAAAGAGTAACTTCTTTTTTCCTTTTTTTTTCAGAAAAAGCTGATAAATCATAAAAACAAAACTTTATTTTTGTTAATTAACGCCATATTGCTAGAAACAGCTTATCGTCTTAGTAAATTTTATATGATGAAAAAACGACCACAAACTTCAAACCAAAATCATATTTATTTTACTCGACGTTTCGTTTCTACAAATTCGCTACTTACACTGATGTCATCAAAAAAGTAACAGACTCTACACTTTTAAATTTGTTCTGTAGACCATTGGACAACGTGACATGGTCACGTGCATAATATTGTTTACAGTAAAACAAAAGAAAATTTACAGCAACATCGAATGTAGATGTGCAGCCTAAAATTGCAGTGAAAGTCATTTGAATTTTGACGTAAAAAAAGAAACACTGAGCATAAAATAAACAAATGTTTAAACAATTATAATTAAAAGAAGAAAACATTATTTGAAAGTGAAGTTAACTAGAGGAGAAGAAACGGATCTACGAACATAATACCCGTTCCTAGTCACGATTAATCTGTGGCTTAAACTTCGAAATAAGTATGGCTTCTATATACGACCAAGAAAATCATTAGCTACAGCAAAGATTTCCATTTGAAAAGAACAGTCAGATGTCGGTCTACCACTGGTTTACGCATAGTGATTCGCTACACTGACACCTTTAGTGAGTTTATTTAAGTTCTTACGTGCTCAACAAATCTGTTGTGTATGTACGAGACTTTCTTCCAATATAAAATTCATTGCATATTCTACAAATTACTTTATATATAATATTTTTATTGTGCATTCACCCTATCCTCCTGCGTCTTTAACAAACTATTTTTTTTTTATTCTTGCAAGCATTATCTGGGTTATAAGCAGAACGTATTAGCATTTGTTTTAAGGTTCTGCCTGATTTTTGTACAAGTCTTAAAAGTAATCCTGATCTTTTTACTGCTAACTGTGAAGCCTCTTTTAAGTCTGTCATTAATGTATGGGATAGTCTAAGTCGCAAGATTACATGTGTCACCCAGTTTACAAGTAGAAGTTTCCCTTTTTTCATTTTTTTAAAGCGCCACTCTTGAATGAATCCGGGATAAAACTGTCTGAATAACCATTCACTTCAAGTGTAGGTTTGTCAGTCCCTTGAATCCGGGATAAAACTGTCTGATAACCATTCACTTCAAGTGTAGGTTTGTCAGTCCCTTGAATCCGGGATAAAACTGTCTGAATAACCATTCACTTCAAGTGTAGGTTTGTCAGTCCCTTGAATCCGGGATAAAACTGTCTGAATAACCATTCACTTCAAGTGTAGGTTTGTCAGTCCCTTGAATCCGGCATGTCGATTTTATGCTTAGAAGGTGTTGTTAAAGTTTCATATAAGTTTTGGTTGTGTACATAAATATAGTTTGTCGTCGATACTACACATAAGTCCCCCGGTGGTTCAGCAGTAAATCTGCAGGTTTGTAACGCTAAAAAAAAAACTTCGATACCCGAAGTGGGTAAAACACATATATCCCATGGTGTAGTTTTGCGCTTAACAACAAATAAACAGAACATAATCTTGACTGAAACATTATATTATCCAAGTTTATAAATCTAATACGCTTTATTAGTCCTTTAAAAATATTAATTTTTAACCTCAGAAAATGTGAAGTTACACTAATTGTAATTTCCATATATTTAAAGCCATTGTTGGAAGTTTACGTAAAATGGATCAAATACCTTAATTTGATTAATTTTTCACCTAGAACTTTACTTACTTCAAATTTCTCAAATTAATATTTTCTTCTAAAATAAGTTATTAAATTAGTAAATTTATTTATGAAATAAAAAGAGAAGGAGCATTTCATTCGTGAAATAATGTATAAAACGCATGTTTGCGCTCAAAAAGTCCATCAAATGTGTCACTCCTAAAGACATAACATAGCATCCACAACAGCAAAGTGAGCCTACATCACGACACGAGTCCTCCACCAAACCCTGTGTTTGTATGTGGTCATCTAAACCTGTAGTCTTCCTGAAGAAACTGTTTGGATGCTACGAGAGCCAAAATGTGTGGTAGAAAACTTACCTTTTCATCCATCCCTTTCGTCACACAAGAATTCTCAGCCTCCGACATCATGAATATTCGTTGTTCTGGTCTAAGAAAATAGTATTCTATTCACTGATAAAAGGGCTGGATATAAAACTTTATCCGCATCAAGTCAAAAGCAATCACCTTTAACTTCTCTCGCCGAGTATGCTCCCTCTCTTTCGTTAGAATCACTTGTGATGCAGATACGATCAGATAAAATATATACTGTGTCGCCATCTGGGGCCGATATTCCTTATTACAAAACAAATTGTCAATTTATGAATAATCGAATAAAGATAGATTATTTTTTAACATTTAACTCTGGGATTAATACTTATTCAACCAATGTCAATGCTCAGTCTTTATGTTTTTGATTTTCAAATTTCAAAAAGTCTGCAATTCATAAACCAATGAGAATCGTCATACATTCTGAAAAAGTTTACAGAACTTATAACGGCACGAACAATTAGAAGTTAGAAGGATAATTTCACCCCTCTTTCATATACATATAGAAGTAAACAGTTGTTCAAACTTTCTATATTAAATATAGATTGATATTTGAACCATATAAAGATACTTAGGTAGAAATTGTCGTAGAAATACTAAACAAATTAAAAGATAAAACGAAAACTCATGCAGTAAATCTATCTGGAAAATTGGATAGTCTCAAACGTTGTTTCGTTATTAACAGTTCAAATTATACTATTATGCTTAACAGTTTAATTTATACTATAATGCATAACATAATGGAACGCATAATGTTTCTTAAAGTGTTAAAATTTTCAAACAGTGGCTACAACACTTGGTCGAGAAGATCAAGAGATGGATTTCCCTAAGTGTTCGTTTCTTAATCTTATAAAATGTTCTACCACCTACACTAAAGTACACATTACTCATCGTTTTTAGTGTTCAGTACTCTATTTTATGAAACTATTCTTATGTTATTATAAAATAGAAATGATTGATAGTGGTGGTGGAACGGAAGGGGGCGTGGTCAAAATCCTACAGATTATTATATTGTTTAGATGTATAATGATATCTCCGCCAAACTTGAAATCGTACCGTCACTGAATAGATTCGAAGGGAACTTCAAGTCTACAGAGCCTAAATATTAATATGTATTTTTGGTTTGGTTTGAATTTTGTGCAAAGCTAATCGAGGACTATCTGCGCTCGCCGTCCCTAATTTAGTAGTGATAGACTAGAAGAAAGGCAACTAGTCAACACAATTCACCATCAACTCTTAGGCTGCTCTTTTATCAGCGAATAGTGGGATTGACCGTTACATTATAATGCACCCACGGCTGAAAGGGCAAACATGTTCGATGACGGGGATCCGAACACGGAACCCACAAATTGAAAGTCGAGCGCCCTAGCCACAAAACTAAGGGACTTGCCAAGACCGATAGGTTTAGGACGAATCATGGTTATGTAGTGAAGTAAAATGAAACAAAAAAAGAAAAAACACTCAACCTTAACATTACGATCTAAACCGATCAACCAGTTATATCCATTTTTACTTCTGAGATTTTATCGGATCTCTTTCGTCTCCTTGCTAACTACGTTGTCATTTAAATTGTTAAAGTTAAAGATGGAAGAATATTTAAGCATTTTATCCAATAAAATTAAAGTATGAGATGCCACCACACTATTGGCTACGTCTATACATCAACACTAGTCTGTAACATAACCAAATATTTCTCTAGTTTTTATCAATAGAGGTATTATATTCTATCATTAACAAGAGTGTGACACTTAGGAGTTTTCGATTTTTCTTTCCTTTATATCATTCGAGACGTTCTATCATCTTATTAGCAAGAGCCTTATAGTTTGGAGTTTCATAGATAAGTTCGTGTTTTGTTTTTTTTAACTTTTATAAAATACAAAATATCTTGACAAATGGCTGCTTTTCTTAGAATGATCTATCATGACATTCATGTAAAATGTAATTAACCATTAATAATAATACATACATAATTTTTAACTAACCTAATTCAACTACACTATATGGTGTAGGTATTGAATGAGGTATTTCACTCAATGCCAATTTTGTAACATTATTTTGATTTTGTGTGGTTGTCCTCTTTTTTTGTCATGGACTTTTTTCGTGTAAGAAGTTAAAACCTGACTACTACGTCTTAACTTCTCCATCTTTGATGTAAGTTGTGGGTGATAAGGACCTGCAACCACCACATATATAAGCAAATAAATATAATTCAACTTCTTGAAATCTAATTTTCTAATTTCAGGAAAATAAACGTCCTGTATGAATAGAGTTCAGTGCACGAGACTGAAGTTGATAATGTAAAACCGTATTTCTGCAAACACAATGATTACAAATTCAATTCGTTAGTCATGAAAGTTTCACCTACACCAAGAATAAATGTGACTGATTTAATTGAGTTTGTGCACAAGATTCAATGAGGATTCCAGTTGGGGTTGTGCACGAGATTCAATGACGATTCCAGTTAAGGTTCTTCATGAGATTCATTGAGGATTCCAGCTGAGGTTGTGCACAATATTCAATGAGGATTCCAGCTGAGGTTGTTCAGAGATCAATGGGGATTCCAGTTGGGGTTGTGCACGAGATTTAATGAGGATTCCAGCTGAGGTTGTACACGAAGAATCAGAAATGCTGCAGTCTTTTCTTTCCGTAAAATATTAAGTTTTCCAATTTACTACTTGTTCCAAAAACTTTTATTTTAGGCCTCAGCTTGTGAATGGTTAAACTCTTTCAGAAGCTCTGTTCATCACTGGACCTTGCTAACATCTTAAACTAATCTTTTTTACAGTGACAGTTCCAACAATAAGACTATCTCAAATTTCTTGTGTTTGAAATTAATGAATTTTGCTACTAAATAATCTCGTTTTCTTTTTAATGGAAAGCTGTATAATCAGGTTGATGGCGTTGCTACGGGCTCGGGGTTGGCGTCATCTTTAGGCAATGTATTTCTGTGTTTTCATGACAATGGCTAGAAATTTTCCCACAACAGTTTAAACCTCTCTGTTGTCGGGGGTATGTCAATGATATCTTCACTATCTTCAAGGCTTTTGATGAAGCTTTCAAACTTCTTCACTATTTGAGCAGCAGATACCGTAGCATGAGGCTCACCGTGGAACATCAGCAGGATCACAAGCTTTCGTTGTTGGACACTTTAATTAATAATAATAATAATAATAATGGTCAAGTTGAATGTGAAGTTTAACATAAGTAAACCTTTACAGGCTTGTATTTCAATTTTGCAAATTTCATTCCAAATATTTTTATAGAAGATTTAGTCAAAATATTATTTCATCGTGCATATAAAATATCTAGCACGTAAGAGGTTTTACATAAAGAATTCCTGTGTAAAAATGACTTCCAAATTTTGTAATTGATATAATACTTCATAATAATTTAATTAAGCATAGTGTTAGTACACGGTATACAAGTCAATTGCCAAAATATCTTCTTGTCATCAGTTTACCCTATACTGGAAATTAGTTATAATTAATTGTGAATTAATTACTCATTCGGAGGATCTTGTAATTCCTTCTACATCAGCAGAATACCACCATCCTACTCTGAATTGAATGGTTATAGCCATCTTTGTGTAACCCATCTTGCATTTTTAATCATTAAGAATCAGTTGAAAATTGACATCCGAAGGATGTATCCACAGATACAGTTAAGATGCGTGTTTAAACTTAATTGTCGCCTACTTTTCTTTTAATTTAAGGACTAGATTCCAAGTTTACAACCATCATATGCAGTTTATAAGTTTACTTGTCCTTGCTGTCAGCAAAGCTATATTGGTTCTATTAAAAGAAACTGTTAAGGCGAATTAAAGAACATGCTAACCTAAGATCCCCATTATGTCAAATGCCTAACATGCTCTAAGAGGATGTGACGTTATTTTTCATTCCAAATGGCTTAGAATCTTAAGAACGGACAATGATAAACAAAGCTTTCGAATAGAAGAGAGGTTACTTATTCATAAACTGAGCCTGAAATAAACGTTGTTAGAACAAGTAGTACATGACTTCTATTGCCATAATGATGTAGATTTATCAGCACTCCAAGGAAATAAACTTTATAATAAGAGTGCATTAAATATTACTCAAAAGCACTAGCTGTGTTTCAAATAGAATAGTAATATATATATATATGCCAGTAATAAAATGTAAAAATGTATAAAGTATAAACTCTGATATACTACACTGGGTCTGTAAACTCTCATAAATATATATTTGAGCTTAACATTAGGCTACTTCCTTGGAGTATTAACTCAAATTTTCGTAGTGAGCTTTACAAAAGACGTATGAACTTTCCTCAACAACAAAATTAAATATCAGGCTCGTGATGGAAAATAATCCAATTTTTAAATAAGATTTACCAAAAAGGAGAAGTAAAAACATGCTTAAAGTAACAGATTAAAGTACTAGGCTTAAATCAGCCAGAAATACCAGATTGGTAAAATGGAACATCTTACTTACTATTTTTCTCCTACTAGAAGTTAGAGCTCGCGATATTTTACTTTTGTCGAGAACTTTCTCGAAAACTTTGAACAAGAAATTGTAAGTATTTTTTACACTGCTGTATTAACTGAATTATTGATTCTGTCTTTCCTTAAGTAACATTTTCTTATTTGTCATTTTTACTCACTGTGATCGACTCTATGCTAAAAATTGTGTACAGGAGAATGAATATATTGAAACCTATGTGTTTTGCTCGCCCAAGTATTACATTGATCTAAATGATAACTAGCTACTGGACAGCTGCGAAGCATTGTAAGACTAAGCCAAAAATTTGTGATAAAAATCACGTTAACTGCAAATGCCCCCCCCCACTTTGTCAATTCCAGATTCAAAATCTGAAACGTGTAAAAATAGGATTTCAGACGTATCTTTTGTCTCCAACAAGTCAATGACCAAGAGGTCTTTCTGTCAATACTAGAACTTGTCAATTGGATGGACGATGATAGTCAAAAGAAACTCTGAAACTCCATTTATGTATGCAGTATAATACTGTAAATGTTACGGCATAAACGCCGAGAGTTAGCCCCTCGACGTGGATTCCTGTACGTGGTGAGGGGACCTCCCAGGGAAGGTTCTGTATTTTCAGTTACTTTCTCTGGGATCTAAACATCCACCCACGTGTTTGCCGTGCGTGGCGACCCGTGAAGAGGAGGAGAGGATCCTGGTGGTTGAGT